ATTAATGTTCATCACGCTCAAAGAAATACAAATCAAACCAATGAGATTTCACCTCACCTATTAAAAATTAACTATTCACAACCCAGCAACTGCACCAGGGTATTTATTCAAGGATACACAACAATGCTAATTTGAAGGGGCACATGCACCCTCAATGTTTATAGCAGCACTATCAACAATAGCCAAATATACAAAGAGCCTCCAAATGTCCATCGATAAATGGATAAGAAGATGGTGTGGCGCGCACGCGCACACACACACACACACACACACACACACACACACACACAACACACACACACACACAGGAATATTACTCGGCGATCAAAAAAAGAATGAACTTTCATTATTTACCAACATGGATGGAACCAGAATGTATTATGCTGGCAAAAATAAGCTTTCCTCGTCAGAGAAAGATAAATACATTTCACTGCATGTGGAATTTAAGAAATAAAACATGAACACAGGGAAGGGAAAGGAAAATATCAAGATGGAAGAGAGGGAGGCAAACCATACAGACTCTTAAATACAGAATAAAACAGGATTGGCTGGAAGGTTGTTGGTGGAGGGATGGCTAAAATGAGTGATGGGCATTAAGAAGGGCAACACTGTTGATGAGCACTGTGGCAATCACGAATCACCAACACTGCCTCCTGAAATCATTATTGTTGTTAATTATATATGTGCTAACTAACTGATTTACAAATTTAAAAATTTCAGAAGAAAAAAAGTAAGAAACCCTGAATTATTCATTTAAAAATGATTTGTGGTATGGAAATTGCTTCAATAAACTATTAAAATAATGTGCTTATAAAATAAAGCAAATGAATGACATGCTCATTTTCTCAACATCCTGAGAGTTATCTAAACTGAAGTACCATCATCAGATAGCAGCTGTCACTAGTGACCAATGTGGAAGGAGGGACTTGACTCAAACTATGAGACTTTCTTTCAGGTTAGGAGGGCTACAGCAATCCTTCAGATATTAACCCAGTCTGAAAGATGTCCCTAAAAGGCCATATTTCTCGATGATAGCAACTAGCTCATATCCTTATCAAAGTGTCTGTGACAGAAAAGCTAGATGAGGCTACCCACTGCTTTGTCCTAGAACAGTGACAGATGATAATAATTTTGTGTGCTCTGTATTACTCAAAAAATTCTTTTTTTTAAAGTTTTATTTTATTTTTGAGAGAGAAAGAGTATGAGTGGGAAGAGGGGCAGAGACAGAGAGGGAGACAGAATTTCAAGCAGGTCTAGGAAATCTCTATGCTTGTCACATACTGTGTGAGCCCGATGCAGGGTCTTTCAAACCCACACATCATGGTAGATCACATATTCACTGGGTTGATGCTTAACTGACTGAGCCAATCAGGTAACCCAACATACTCAAAATGCTGGAAATTGGAAACTGTGTGGTTCAATGGGTTCATTTACTTAATATATATTTTCTTTTTTTTTTTAAACATTTTTGGAAAATGTTTATTGTGAGAGAGAGAGAAACAGAGCAGGTATCAAAGCATGAGTGGGGGAGGGGACAGAGAAAAGAGAAAGGGAGACATGAGAATTCAGGCTCCAGCTCGAGCTGTCAGCACAGAGCCCTTAACACAGGCATACGGAATCCATGAACCATCTTTAGATCATGACCGGAGCTGAAGTCAGACATCTTCTCAACTTCAACTGGAACCACCAGGTGCCCTTAAGATGAATATTTTCTAAATTCCATAGACATTGGTGCAGGCTCTGGGAGAGTACATAATTTTTGATGGGAGAAAGGAAAAGTATAATGGTAATACCCTCTATGACAGTGAATTTCAACAAAAAGGCTTTTATGAGAAAACACAGAAAGCTTCATTCTACTGCTAACAGAGAAAATATGTGGCTGCAGTATGGTAAAGAATGTCGAAGAAGAAAAAGGTTCTTGAGAGCTGACATCAAAATGAACAAAGTGATGAATGCGTATCAGTCAAGAAAGAAACCCGAACATTCTAATCAAGAGAACACATATGTGCAGATTTAGAGCCATGGAAGAGTATGCTACAGAGGGAATTAGTACGTTCAAAATTACTTAAATATATCTCTTCAAGATTAGGCTGCTGGGTGGCGGTTAAAGATCCTAATTTCAGCCAGGTCACGATTCCTGTCCTGAGTTCGCAGCCCGACCATCAGTTTCCAGTCGAGGGCTCAGAGCCTCCCTGAGCCTCCCAGTGCCCCCCCCCTGCCTCCTCCCATTCATGCTCTGGTTCTCTCTGTCCCAAAAATAAAAAAAATAAAAAAAAAAAAAAAAAAAAAACGTTGAAAAAAAAATTAAATATATCTCAAGACAAGGAGAGATGGGAAAGAAAGTGTCAAAACTGAAAATAATGTATAAAATTTTTCTTAAAGCTCAACTTATTCAGTTTATAGGATTTTATTTTAACCTTCTACTGATCACCTAGAAATAAAAAAAATAATTTATTGGTTTGAAAATCCTATAAATCTGGGACCACTACTCTGTATGATATGCAGCCCTAGAAAATTAAGCAGTTCAGTTTTTGGCTACTCCATCTTTTAGAGAAGTTTGATAATGTGAAGTCTCTTCATATTTTCCAGCTTCCCCAAAACACTGCTGTTATAAACACTGTTAAAACAGCAGCAGTTATTAAGGATAAAGTAACCAGAATATACTTTCACAACCACAAGCAAAATACCATTCTCATGGCATTTTCTCATGGTACTTTCTTTTGTCATTAAACTCTAAAATTAAAAAAAAAAACAACAACTTTTTACCTTGAAACAATGCAATAGGAGGCAGGGTATGGTTAAGTTTACAACCTTGCGATCATAATGAAATAGTTGTCCTGTGCACAATCTGAAAAGTTTGGCAAGCCTTTTCTCTTTTTCCAAAAACTGTGTCACAGTTATCTTTTTTCACTGTTTATCATGTTACTAGTTCATGAGGTCTGCTGTCCAACCAAAAGAAAATCTTACACTAGAGAATACTCCCACAATTATTTTATAACATCTCTTTTCAATTTGATAACCTCTATCCATACTCTAAGGACACTCACCTGTTTTACATTGTATCCTGCTTTTGCACTTGTTTCAATAAACATAACATTCAGCTCTTTGGCTTTCCTCTCTCCTTCCTCAATTGATACTTGCCTGTAAAACAAATTCAAAAGATAAATTCCTCTTTTTGCAAGATGGTATTGTAAAGAATATAAACAAGATTCTGAAAATAACTTTTCTTTTTGTTAAGTTTATTTATTTGAGAGAGACAGCACGAGTGGGGGATGGACAGAGAGAGAGCGAGACAGAGAATTACAAGCAGACTCCATGCCACAGCATGGAGCCTGATGTAGGGCTCGAACCCATGAAACTGCAAGGTCATAACTTGAGCTGAAACCAACAGCTGGATGCTTAACCAACTGAGCCACCAAGATGCCTATGAAAATAACTTCCCTCGTATGTGTGCTGGTTACACAGATAAGAATAGTTTGAAAATTCATCAAGCTGCAGTACACTTAAAATTTGGGTACTTCTGTGTGTATGTTATACCTTAATAAAATTTTTTAAAAAGGCATTTTTTAATGATTTGCTTTTATTTGGCTGACCTCATCCTGTAATTTTTTTATTTTTAAAATCTTAATAGCCTGCTATTTTCTCTTAATATTAGATCATAAGCATTTAGTCTTATGATTAAAAACTTCATGTAAAATAATTTTTTATTACTGCACAATTTGTCAATTTGCTACTATAATTTATGTAACCACCCCCAAACTGTTAAAAATGCTAAAAATTTTTTTTTTTCAAATTTCATACTACTGTGAAAAATGTTGCTATAAATATCTTTGTGCATAATATTTTATGCACTGTGGATCTTTTCTTTAGGATAGATTTTGTGGATTTCTCTAAGTGGAGTCAAAAGGCATGTATATTAAATTCTCTTGATACATTTTATAGGGCATTTGGTGACACATTATAATTAGCAGCAATGTGTCTCAAATTGTAATATGTTCTTTAAGTACAAGATTATGTCACTTATCTTGGTGTTCCTAGTGCCTAGCTGGCATATAGATATGTAATAAATATGCAAATATTCTAATTAAATGGATCTAAAATATCAGCTGACAAACTCAGCTTCCTACAACACAGAAAACCAAAGCAATGCAAGAGAATTTCCACAAGCTCTCACATCTATCCACCAATCTATGTGTGTGTACCCTTATATTCTACTTCTAGTCCTGCTACTATGGAGGAAACTGTCCTTACTCCCCAAACTTCACCTTTGTACTAGATTCCACTCTCTTCTTGCCTACAAGATATTATTCTAGAAATTCTCCACTCTCTGTAAAAGTTAGGAAAGAAGAAAATGAGTATTCTTAAGCAAAGAGAACAGCACAGAAATTCTCTTATATAGCAATCCACCTGTTAATAATGTTTTACTACATCTGCTTGTTTTATCCTCTCATTTCTATGTATTTATGTATGTGTGTGTGTATGTGTGTGTGTGTGTATAAATTAAAAAAAAAACACACACTGGAGAGTAAGTTGACAATTTGCAGACCTTTAGCCCTAAATATATCAACAATGTGGGTTTTTTTTTAATGTTTACTTATTTTGAGAGAGTGGGGGAGGGAGAGAATCCCAAGCAGGCTCCGTGCTGTCAGCGCAGAGCCCAACATGGGGCTCAATCTCACATACCATGAGATCATGACCTGAACCAAAATCAAGAGTCAGATGCTTAACTGATTGAGCTATGTAGGTGTCCCAACAGTGTGCATTTCTTTAAAACACTTCTATCAGACGCCCTAAAATTTACTCTTTGGACCTCTTCTCTATTTATAATTACTCCCTTGGTGATCCCAGGCAGTATTATGGTTTTAAATACCCATCTACATGCTGATTAATCCCAAACTTATTTATCTAGCCTGGACTGCTGCTCTGAACTCCAGGCTCATATATCCAATTGCCTACCTGACATCTAATTACATATTAGAATATCTAACAGCAATTCTAAATTTAAAATGACCAAAATTGAAGTCATAATATTCCATCCTAAACCACCTCTTTATGAAGTGTCTCCCTATCTCAGTTAATGACAGTTAATCAGGCCAAGAATCTAGGCATCATTCTTGACACCCCATATTCTGTCCATCATTATGTATTCTATCCATTGCATGAGTGTATCTTCAACAGTTCTACCTTCAAAATGTATCTGAATTTGACCACTGATCACTACACATGCTACCAGTATCCTGGTCCAAGTCATCATCATTTCTTGCTTCGATTTCAGCCTGGATTACTCTCTTCACTTCTACTCTTACATATTTTCCACAGAGCAAACAGTGATTTATGAAAAGTTACTCTTTTGCTTGAATCCTCCAATTTTTTTTTTTTTTAATGTTTATTTCTGAGACAGAGAGAGACAGAGCATGAGTGGGGAGGGGCAGAGAGAGAGGGAGACACAGAATGTGAAGCAGGCTCCAGGCTCTGAGCTGTCAGCACAGAGCCTGATGCGGGGCTTGAACCCACAAACCATGAGATCATGACCTGAGCCGAAGTCAGTTGCTCAACTGACTGAGCCACCCAGGTACCCCATGAATCCTCCAATTTCATTCAGAGTCTTTACTTTGCCCTACTTGACCTGGTCTTTATTGTCTTTTTCAAAAACTATTATTTTTTAACCTCATTGCCTACTACACTTTCCATCATTCTCCTCACCAGCTATATACGATTCCTTGCTGTTCTTCAAATAAACTAAATGTATTCCCAACTCAAGGATTTTGCATTTTCTGGGCCATCAGCTTAGAACCTTTTCCTCCTCAGGATATCTGCATAGTTGACTCCCTTGCTTCCTTAGCATATTTACTCAAAACTCACCATTTTCTCAATGAAGTCTTCCATTTCTATTCCATCTAATATCTTAAACTCACACCTGACATTTCATATTTCTTTTCCTTGCTTTCCTTTGTACTTTTAGCATGTTATCATTATCAAACATACCATGCTTTTTTTTTTTTTTTAACTATGTGTTTTTTTGACTTATTTATTTGCCTGGTTCATTTTCTGAAATAAAAGTTCCTTGAAGACTTGGCTTTTTTTGTTTACTATTCTACCCTAGAGTAGCATCTTCTGAAACGTAAGTGGTACTCAATAAATACTTCTGAATGAATGATTATTATGAGTGAATGACTATCCTACATGTAAGGATTCCAGAGAAATTCTTCCTAGTTTTAAAACTAGGAGTCACCCTAATCAAATGGTTGAAGGTCAGCTATAGCAATGGTCCCAACTGTGGTTTGATTTTGTCGGAATCATGGGAATGCAAGCTGGTGCAGCCACTCTGGAAATCAGTATGGAGGTTCCTCAAAAAACTAAAAATAGAACTACCCTACGACCCAGCAATTGCACTAGTAGGCATTTATCCACGGGATACAGGTGTGCTGTTTTGAAGGGACACATGCACCCCCATGTTTATAGCAGCACTATCAACAATAGCCAAAGTATGGAAAGAGCCCAAATGTCCATCGATGGATGGATGGATAAAGAAAATGTGGTATACATATACAATAATTTTGTCAGAATCAGCTAGAAGATTCATTAAAATACAGATTTAAGGATACCATTCTAAACTCATTGAATCACAGCATCTAAAAGTAGGATCTAAAACCCCCAAATTTAACTGCTGAAACAACTACAGCACCATAAGTTAACTAAAATTTAAATAAAACAAAAAACAAAAAACAAAAATTGAAAAAGTTGACCATGATCTTTATATCCAGAATCTTAAAAGAGGGTCTAATAAGCCAATTTACCCACTGATTCTCAAAATTTAAACATCTGGGAATCACTGGGCTACAGGGGACAGAAAGTATTGAGCATCAGGGCACTTATTTTGAAACACTGAAACAGATATACTCTGGTCTTTTCTACAAGTTTTTACACACAACAAATGTAATTCTCAATGTGATAAAGACATTTATCTTTGAATCATTTTTATTAAAACTTTTTCTCCTAATTACCAAAGTAATTTTTAAAAAGGGCAATCATTAGGGGTGCCTGGGTGGCTCAGCTGGGTGATCACTGGACTTCGGCTCAGGTCATAGTCTTACAGTTCGTGAGCTCAAAACCTGCGTCAGGTTCTGGGCTGACAGTTCAAAGCCTGGAGCCTGCTTCAGATTCTGTGTCTCCCTCTCTCTCTGCCCTTCCTCCACTTGTTCTCTCTCTCTCTCTCAAAAATAAACGAACCTTTAAAAAAAAAGAAAGGGCACTCATTAACATTAGAGTCCTCCATAATCCTACTCCTTCTCAAAGATGTAGAGACAGTTAAGTCCCATGTATGCTTATACAGATTTATTCTAAAAAGAAAAAGAAAAAAAATATATATACATCTACCATCAATTTTCTTAAAAAAATTTTTTTAATGTTTATTTATTTTTGAGAGAGACAGAGACAGAATGCGAATGGGTTAGGGGCGGAGAGAGAGGGAGACACAGAATCCAAAGCAGGCTGCAGGCTCTGAGCTGTCAGCACAGAGCCTGACGCGGGGCTTGAACTCACGAGATCATGACCTGAGCCAAAGTCGGAAGCTCAACTGAAGTCGGAAGCTCAACAGACTAAGCCAACCAGGCACCCCTACCATCGATTTTTTTTTTTAACATAAAGAATATCATGCTATACATACTGATCAAATCATTTTTTAAGCTTCATGTGTTAGACATCAATAAATTCCTCTCATTCTTTTTAGTAGCTACGTGTACTTCATTTATAAAATGCTACTGCTACTGATGGACATTTAGATTGATTTTAATTTTTAATATTACAAATAATGTTGAAATAAACATTCTTTTTTTTTTTTTAATGTTTATTTATTCTTGAGAAAGAGAGCGTGAACAGGGGAGGGGCAGAGAGAGAGGGAGACACAGAATCTGAAACAGGCTCCAGGCTCTGAGCTGTCAGCACACAGCCCAACGTGGGGCTCGAACACACAAACTGTGAGATCATGACCTGAGCCGAAGTCAGACGCTTAACTGACTGAGCCACCCAGGCGCCCCTGAAATAAACATTCTTATATGTTCATTTTTTTCCCCCACATTTGTGCAGGTGTATCTGTGCAATTACTGGAGGTGGGTTTGAGTCCATGAGTATTTTAAATTCTGATACTGTTAAACTGCTTCATCCCAATATATTAGTTACATTTTCAATATATGAAGAGTTCTTGTTTATTAAATTCTTGTCAATACTGTGTATTATCAATCTTCTGAATAACGGTTGATCTAACAGGTAAATATGATCTTCATATCGATAATATTCAGACTTAACCAATCTTTGTCTTTATGGCTTTAAGGTTTCATGTCATGATTCTAAGAAAAAATTTTTATTAAAAACAATATTTTTTATTTAATTTTTTTATGTTTATTTATTTTTGAGACAGAGAGAGACAGATCATGAGCAGGGGAGGGGCAGAGAGAGAGGGAGACACAGAATCCGAAGCAGGCTCCAGGCTCCGAGTTGTCAGCACAGAGCCTGACACAGGGCTCGAACTCACGAACCATGAGATCATGACCTGAGCCGAAGTCAGATGCTCAACCAACTGAGCTACCCAGGCTCCCCTTATTAAAAACAGTATTTTTTAATGTTTGTTTTTGAGACAGAGAGAGATAGAATGTGAGTGGGGGAGGGGCAAAGAGAGGAAGACACAGAATCTGAAGCAGGCTCCAGGCTCTGAGCTGTCAGTACAGAGCTCAATGTGGGGCTCAAACTATTGAACAGTGAGATCATGGCTTGAACCAAAGTCAGACACTTAACCCACTGAGCCACCCAGGCGCTCTTCATGTCATGCTTATAAAAGGTCACCCACTCACTACCAAAACATTTTTCTTCTAATTCTTTTTTAACAAACATTTAAATCTTTTACTCATTTTAAAATTAATTTAGTGGAATGAACAAGGCTTTAATTTTTAAAAAATGTTAACAGTTGAAGGGTGATAGTCTGGCAAAAATTGCTGAGAAAGGCAGTAATTCCAAACCAATGGACATACATTACCTTGAAGAAAAAATTACTTCAAGTATAATTTTTTAGCATTTGTGTACTCAACTGAAATATTACATAATAAAATAAAAGATGATATACTCATCCATTTGGCTAACTCTACCTGTTAAAACAAAACAATTCAGATACACAATTTTTCTATTTAAAAATTAAAGTATTGGGGGGGTGGTGCTCAGTCAGTTAAGCATCCAATTCTTGATTTCAGCTCAGGTCATGATCTCACAGTTCATGGGATCAAGCCCTGCATTGGGCTCCATGATGACAGTGTGGAGCCTGCTTGGGATTTTCTCTCCCTCTTTCTCTCTGCCCCTCCCCTGCACACACGCGCACGCACTCTCTCTCTCTCTCAAAATAAACATTAAAAAAGAAAATAAAAGAACTAGAGACTCTCTACTAGAAGAATATATACCTATATCATCTTTAAATTCTCATAGTGTAGATAAATAAAATAGTGAAAATTTATGATGCCAATTGATGTCCAAACAATTATTTTCATAAAGGAAAGATGATTATACTCTGAGTTTACTTTTAAATCAAGAAAAACTTTTTTGTCACTGTACTGCCAATTCCAAATGAAGTACCATGGGAAGAAATGGGCTTAACATTTGCACAAGCCTTGGAACATATTGGATTTCTTTGCAACATTTTAATTAATAGTACAAATTCAATACCCGAATTTCAATATCCGTCTCATGAATAAACAAACAGCAATAGTAAAAGCTTCTACTATTAAGTGAAATGGTCAAGACTATTTAAAGCAGAAAGACTATCCAGTAGATTACTTAGGATGCTGAAGGCAGATATTCAAGCCATGGGCTCTACAGTGAATGTTAATAATTTTGCATCCTGTGACTTGAATATGGCTTTGCTCATTTGACTAAGGTATTACAATCAAGCTATTCAGTTCAACTACACAGTCTGGTTCAACCATACAACTTATAAAAAGAAAAGAAAAACTACACCACTGAATTATAATGAATATTTATAAGAAGTCTACCAAAAGAGTGTGCATTTAATCATTATGAATAATTTTTAAAGATAGGATTTGTTTCTTCAAACATTTTGTCCTTTAACAAAATACTGCTCATGTTTATGAGGCCTAAAAAATGCAAAATAGTTACCAGCTTCGTGTGTAAACAATCTTTGTTTCCCCCCACATGTAAACAATCTTGCACAAGAACTATTTACACACGGGCTTACACAAAACAAAAAAACTCATTTTCCTTTAAGGAAATGTTCAATGTTTACATTTATATTTCAGGTTCTCACACTGAAGAAAAGGGGGGTATAAACTTAAGAATTAAACATGTCTCCTTTGAAAACAATTCTTTAGTAATAAAAATAACGGGTTGTTTAAGGAAGAAATCAAACATTTGATACACATACAAAATCACTCTATACCTCTTGTCAGCAAGATCTGTTTTATTTCCTACTAGCATGATGATAACATCACTTCCTCTTTCTGTTCTGACATCATCAATCCATTTTGTAGTTTGCTGGAATGAGTTAACATCTGGTATAGGAGGGTGGACAGAGAGATTAGTGTTACCGCAAAGTCTCCCCAAGTGACAGACTAAAAAAACAAAAATAAACGAAAACAAACCCTGGAAGTTGGAGGGGGGGTGGCACATTAGGACCCACTTTTAATGTGCCTGCAACATAACTCCATTTTATCTGAGTACAACTGTCAGTGACAAATCACAAAAATAAAGTCCTCAAGGTTCCTTTTATAGTATAAAAATTTTGAACATGACCAAATGAATGCAATGTACCATATATAATAAAAATTTTAAAAAAAAAGGCGTTTTAAAATTTACGGACAGCTACGGCAGATAACATGGTGTCACATTGCCACAACGTTTTTTTGATTACTTACACATACCCAACATGACAAAGAAAGCATCTCCAAAAGTATGTCAGCCAGTAAATCCCAACACATCCAGAAAATTTGTAAAGCTTTAAATAGCTTTAAACACCACTGTTTGCACGGCTTGTTCAGTTTGTGATCACTTTAACTTGAAGTTTATTAGTTTAATGCACCAGAATCACTTGTAACAAAATCCATCTTTCCTAGCACCCAATTCTAAGTAGAATACTTAAACACTTTTTATAGCAGCTCCAGAAAACAGTTTACTAATATTTTAATCACATGTGCATTTTTAAAGAAAAAGACACCAGGTTTCACTTGATTTGGTTAAAGTAAGCACAAACATTTTAAAGCTGCAAAACTTGTCAATGCACAATGAACATACATTGTTTTAAACAAGTAGCAACCCAAAGTAAAGCTTCAAGAAAAGAAAGATTGCATATAGCACATACCCCACCCCCACCAAAGGTCTCTGAATGCAAACTTATAACTTATAATTCTGCCATTGCAATTATTAAGTAGGTATGACTTCTAGCAGATACACAAAAATGTATAGTATCACTAACGCAAATCAATAGTTTGTATATGTAACACTCTTTTTGAAATAAGTCTAAGATGTGACACTATTCTGGTTTTCCTACAAATTATGGACTACTATATGGAATGATGGCTTAACATTGCCTGATATATATAATAAACCAATTTACAAAGACAATTTTAATCAGAGAGCATTTCCCTGTCAGTCACCATGTTCTGTGGGAAATTTACAGGCACTTAAAATGCCAAAGACATTATTCAGTCTTTAGGGAAAAGAAAAAGGAAGATCATCACTTGTTTTAGTCTCCTATTTAAAATTTCTTTTTGGAGAGAAATGAAAGTGTAATTTGTTAGCAAAAAAAGTCAGTCACAGAATCCAGATGTGATTCAAATGAAAATGATTAATAGAAAACTGCACATTACATGTTTTCTCTGCCTTCTCTAGAGAGAGGATGGCTGGAAGTGGAAAGCAGAGAAAAGGTGGCTAGCAGAAGCTTTTAATAGCCTCAACAGAGAGCCTTGGAGAATCTGAAAACTTTGGCAAGAGGCTTAAATGCAGATTATTTTATTTTAGAGAAATCTGAGATCAAGTTAAATGAAAAAGGAGACATTCTTCCAACCATAATTATGGTGTGACTTAGGGATAACAGGATACTAAGAAAGCCTTGGAGAGAATTCATGATTAGATCTGAAGGAAAATTTCCATGGCAAAAAAACCTGGCACAGTGGAAATAAAGCATATTGGTACAAACACAAAAGCAAATATTTCTGACCTAGCTGGTCTATAAGGTTTGCTATGACAAAACTCATTTTTACATGCTAGTATAGAAAACAAGCACAAGACAAGAACATGCATGCAGCTAAGCTAAAGGTTGAAAGAAGATTAGAAATGCATAATTCCCCCCACTCACTTGTGATATCATAAACAACAACTGCCACAGTGGAGTCACGAATGTAGCTAGGAATCAAGCTCCTGAACCGCTCTTGACCTGCTGTGTCCCATAATTGCAATCGTACCTAACAACAAAATCAGTCAAACAAGCAAGAAAAATAAGAAAGGTCAACCCGTTGCAAAATACCTACTTGTGATATCGTAAACTACTACGGCTGCAGCAGAATCACGGATGTAACTGGGAATGAGGCTACGGAAACGTTCCTGACCCGCAGTATCCCACAGCTGCAGCCTGATCTGTGGGATGGGAAAAAATAAATAAAAAAAAAAAAAAAACCAAACTCATACTAAAAAGAAAAAAGAAATAATGTTTTTAAAGGGGAGAAGGAGGGAAGGAGGTAAAAAGTAGACTCATGCAAAAGGTTGCAGGGATGAGAAGAATGAAAATAACACAAAACTCCTTTCCTTTTTCAAAAGAGAATAGTATTAAAAATTTGCTCTGAAGGTACAGGACTTAAAAATGGCAATACGGGAATATTTCACAGAATCAGAAATACAGCTCCCTTTTTTTCACTCCCTATAACCTCTCTTTGAATCTTATGCCTTCCAGACAGCAAAAAGTAGATTCTGTTGACGTTCAGTGAGCATAAAAGGGAAAAATGAAAGTAAATGTCAACAAGCAGCCCTGGCTATCAGAGTAAAGGAGTGAATGCTTCTCTGAAAGCCTCTCTGAAGTTAAAAGCATCTCTTTTCTATTGAGTCCAGAAATTGGGTCTTTGACTACTGTGCTTATGTTTCTCCCACATGTTTCTTCCCAGAACACTGTACATAACCCAACAAAAAAGGAAAAATATCTTTTTGCAACTCTACATAAAAATTTCTTTATTTTCTTACTTTTTCACATCTACATTTGAGGAAGAAAAGCCTGAAAACAAGTAGTACTGTACTATTACAAAGCAATTTCTAAGCTTTCAAAATTTAAGAAATGGCATGCTAAACATTAAAACATAAAAGAAAAACCCACACACTTCTAGGAAATAATATTAGAAACACAATAATGTTTTTTTGGGTCTAGGTCCTGAAATAATGCATTTAAGACAGTCACTGCTTAGTTGATAGGAATTTCTTCCAGAGACAATAGGCTGGAATACACTGTGCTTAAAGGGAGCATTCCAAAAGACAGGTGTCTAAATCCAACAAATAAATACATATTACTTCTTCTATTCACAGTCACTTTGGTATACATCATATTCTGACAAATTAAATCTCGAAATTCACAAATGATGTGATATTCAAATGAAATATTTCTGAATGCTTCAAGAGTAGCACTCAAAAAGTCTTTAGCAGCTCTAATTTCTTGATGAAAATACTCTTCATTATCTCAATGCTATCTGTTATCATTTTTCCAAATCAGGATGACATATTTTATTTAGCAAGCCTAGGGCCTTCAGGGCTTTCCAATAACTTGGCCTTCTCTCCCCTTTGCATTTTACTTGGGGATTAAGTCAGAATGCTAAGTACTACCACTCTGTAATAACAGTTTTTCTCAAAGCTTATATACTAACTCTGTCAACTTTACTAAGAACTTCTTACGATGACAATTACTGATTACAGCTTTGATCACAGTTTTCTATCCTGGAGTGCTGCAGAAAACTGCACACGGAAAACATTACTCACTGTTCGATCCTCCAAGTACATTGTTTTTGATAAAAAGTCAATACCAATTGTTGCCTGTAAAACAAAATAAAACAAAAAAATTAAATAATAATAATAGTTTAATGGCAGTCAGCAGTTTAGGGTTCAAATGATAATTATGACTTCTATAATTAGAAGAAATAATTAATAAACATATCACAGCTAAGTATAAATGACCAAAATTTTTAGTGATAATGGCTTCCACCACTGAACATGTGCTGTGTAGTAAGGGATTCTTTAAGGACCTTTACATGACCATCTCTAATCCTCATACATCTCTGCAAGGGTAGCTATTGTCAACCCTATTTTAATCTTTTATAGTTAATAATATTGGGGTTCAGAGAAGTTAAAAAACTTGTCTAGGGAAACAAAGCTTTTGCTATGGAGCTGAGAGTAAAAGCCCAGCTTTTTCCAATATATAAAGGTACAGAGATTTTCCACATACCCCCTACCCCCACATATGCATAAAACCTCCTACTATCAACATCCCCCACCAAAGCAGTACCATTGTTACAGCTGATGAACCTACTGACACTGATTTTATACATATACATAAGTATATATAAAATATAAACATTATATATTATACAAATAAATAATGTATATAAAATATATAAACTTAAAATTATATATACATATAATTACACGCACATATATATATATACATATATATAATTTCTTTTAAGTTTATTTATATATTTTGAGATAGAAAGCACAAATGCGCCAGGGAAGGGGGGATGGGCGGCAGAGAGAGAGAGAGAGAGAGAGAGAGAGAGAATGAGAGAATGAATCCCAAGCAGACTCTGCACTGTCAGAGCAGAGCCTGATGTGGGACTCAAACACACAAACCATGAAATCATGACCTGAGCCTAAGTAGGACACTTAAAAGACTGAGCCACCCAGGCGTCCCTGACACTCATGTATTTTTTAAGACAGATTTTACTTCTAAATTGTGGTAAAATATGTATCATAAAATGTGACATTTTGACCATGTTAAGTGTACAATTCCACGGCAGTGATTGCATCCACAATGATGTACCACTGTCAACACTATCTGTTTTTAACACTTTTTTATAACCCCAAACAAAAACTCTGTGCCCATTAAGCAATAACTTATTATAATGTATGGATATACCAAAATTTCTTTATCCGTTCATCTACTGTCGGACATGGGTTGTTTTCATCCTTTGGCTACTGTGAGTTCCTATTTTCAATTCCTCAGTATATACTTAACAGTGGAATTGCTAAGCCATATGATAATTCTATTTAAACTTTGTGAGGAAATGCTAGACTGTCTTCCCACAGTAGTAGCATCATTTTAAATTTCCAATAGCAATGTATGAAGATTCCAATGTTTCCACATCCTTGTCAGCATCTGTTAGTTTCTCTTTTTAAATATATAATACTCAACCTAGAAGGTAGGAAATGGAATCTTTTTGTGGTTTTGATTAACAGTTCTCTACTGACTAATAATGTTGAGCATCTTTTCATGTGCTTACTGGTCATATGTACATCCTCTCTGAAGAAATGTCTATTCAAGTCCCTTGCCCATTTTTATTTTTTTAATTTTTTTTTTTTTACATTTATTTATTTTTGAGAGACAGAGCACAAGTGGAAGAGGGGCAGAGAGAGAAGACACAGAATCCGAAGCAGGCTCCAGGCTCTGAGCTGTCAGCACAGAGCCCAACGTGGGGCTCCAATTCACAAACCATGAAATCATGACCTGAGCTGAAGTCCGATGCCCAACCAACTGAGCCACCCAGGTGCCCCTCCCTTGCCCATTTTAAAATTGTGTCATTTTATTATTGATTTATAGTTCTTTATATATTTTAGATATCAAGCCCTTATCAGATATGTAATTTTCAAATATTTCCTCCCATTCTATAGGTTGGGCCTGGTGCTTTAATTGAAAACCAGTTGTCAATAGATATATGCATTTATTCATGAACTCTTTTTTTTTTTTTTTTCAAAGTTTATTTATTTTTGGGACAGAGAGAGACAGAGCATGAACGGGGGAGGGGCAGAGAGAGAGGGAGACACAGAATCGGAAACAGGCTCCAGGCTCTGAGCCATCAGCCCAGAGCCTGACGCGGGGCTCGAACTCACGGACCGCGAGATCGTGACCTGGTTGAAGTCGGACGCTTAACCGACTGCGCCACCCAGGCGCCCCAATATTCATGAACTCTTAATTCTATTCCACTGGCCTATATGTCTATCTTTATTTTGATTACTGTAGCTTTGCAGTAAATTTTGAAATTGGGGGTGGGGGAGCCTGGGTGGCTCAGCTGGTTAAGCACCAACTTTGGCTCATGTCATGATGTCACAGCTCATGAGCCTGCTTTGGATTCTGTGTCTCCCTCTCTCTCTCTGCCCCTTCCCTGTTTCCACCCTGTCTCTCTGTCTCTGTCTCTGTCTCTGTCTCTCTCTCTCTCTCTCTCTCTCTCTCAAAAATAAAATAACTGTTAAAAATTTTTTTTGAAATCAGTATTAGTCTTCCAATTATTATTTTCCTTTTTCAAGACTATTTTGGCTTCTGTAAATTAAAATTGACTCTTTCATTTCTCACAAATGGCAGTAGAAATCTGACAGGGATTGCACTGATTCTGTAGACTGCTTTGAGTAGTTAGTATTGACATCTTAATATTAAGTCTTCCAATCCCTTTGCCTGGGATGTCTCTCCACTTACTTAAGTCATCTTTAATTTTTTTTTTTTTTTTTTTGTGAGCAGTGCTTTGTAGATTTCAATTATATACCGACTTTTATTAAGAAAGCAAACAAGCTTACAAGCAAGCAAGCAAGCAAGCTAGCGTTCTCCTTTATCCTAAACTATGTGACTACATATTACAAGTATATATCTCTCTCTCTATAATTCCATCTTATGACATTTAATCTGAAAGTGTGTACCCTATTCTGTTATAGGCTGGGAATAATGGGCTTATAAATTCAAATTATTGTGCAAAAGCATCTAATTGACAAACCTGAAAAATATACAGGAATGGTATAGGGCTACATTTAAGAAATCTCATTAGTAGAACCTCATTTAATCAGATAATGTGGTAGAGGCAGCTAATTGTCTAGACAAATATCCCATTTTCCCCTTCTTCCTTATTAAAAAAATCAAACATTTATTTAAATCCATACTTTTCCCATTAAAAAGACTACATTTTCCAGTCTTCTTTGTGCTTTAAATGGGATTGACTCAGTTGAGAGGTGCACTGTTGGTATTTTTCCTTTTCTCCTTCTTCCTGCCTGGATATGGATACCACATCCAGAACTCCAGGAACCATTCAGTAACCATGAAGCAACCTTCACAAGGAAGTCATATATGAATGAGATCTGATTAAATTTAGAAGGCATCTTAGTCCCAGATGACCATGGAGCTGCCACACAAGCCCAGGACTACTTTACCTCTAAACTTCTTTTACATGAAAAAAATTCTCATATCACTTACCAATGTTATTTTATGTTTATTATAAACAGCCAAAAATAATTTTAATAGCTACAAACAAAAATATGCATTCTCAGATCTCACAGTCAACACATATAAATGTTTTTAAAATTAGTACAAAGTAAGACTTTATGATAAAATGTATAATAATCCCCTCCTTCCACTGCACTGTCCTAGTTTTGGGACATCATTCATACACTGTACTCATAAAGGTCAAAATTAACCTGAAAAGTATAGCCTCTTCCTGCCTGCTCTTCTTTTCAGTTAATTTTATTCCAAGCAGAGCTACAATGGCAAAGAAGTCGATCAGCCACAGGAATTAAGCCAACAGCAGGAAAAATAGAAAGAATGGCTAGGAAACTAAACATTATCAGCTATTCTAGGATCTTAAATGTTACTGATGTGGAACTAATTCAAACTTTCATAAAAGAGGGATGAGACATCAGTGCTGCCTCTTGCTCATCTTCTTTATAGAAATGCAGAAGGCAATAATTGTAGAAGAAACCAAAGGTTAGAGAAAATTCTCCCACATATCTTAATTTATAGCTTCGCATTATTTTAAGTGTTAATTAATTCACTGGGTAAGGAAAGTCTACTTTTGTAAAAGACAAAAAATTAAACTGAGTACTTTTACTGTGGGAGCACACAATTCAAGATTGAATAATGACTTACCTAATACATCAGCATCAAGATAATAATGATAACTATAGTTTGGATATTTATACTTGGATGCTCTCCACTCAGAACAGTGTTTATCTGCCCCCAATAGCAATTTTATAAAATACTGCAGATGTAAACTACTATTTTGTCTGACTTCCTTCCTACATAACTGTTTATCACCTTTTCTGATGCCATACACAGTCGAGACCCCTCAACATCATGATTTCAAGGAACATGAGTTTTCCTACACAAAAGTAATTAAGTAAGGAAAACAAGTTTTCCTCTGTACCAAGCAAAGATAATCAGCTTCCTTTGTGGTCCAAACATACAAAGTTCTGTTGCCTAGCTGCTGCTTTCCCTAGCAGGAGAAAATAAATCAAGAATAAGTGTTGAGAAAGGCAAAGACTAGAATAAAGAAAGAAAAGAGTGGACAAGTTAAAGAAGAGTCTATCTAACACTGACTAACAGAGATAAGTAAAAACAATGAAGAAAGGCAAAGGATCCCAGAAGCAAGATGCTGATATGGGTTCCATTTTAGAAAGGTAACCATCCCATTACTACACATGTTTATATATATTTATGAATGTGTATATTTATGTATGTATGTATACTTTTCTCCTAGGTATCTTTGTGCCACATTACTTAGAACAGAAACTATGTAGAATCTATTTCAGAAATGAGTCGCTATAATAGGCATAGAATTTTACTTATGCAAGGTGAACAAGTTCTAGAGATCATTGTGCATATATTTAATACTGTATTGTATACTTAAAAATCTGATTAGGAGGTAGATTTTATATTAAGTGTTCTTAGCACAGTTTGAAAAAAAAGGAACTGTTCTCCCCCTACCTCCCATAAAATGACAATACTTCTGATAGGAGAAAAAAGAGTCCTTAAAAATTAAAGAAAATTTAAAAATAAGAAATCAAACACTGGATGAGAAAAGTAGTCCCATTAGTGGGGCGGGGGTGGGGGGGTGGGAGTTGGGTGCAGATTTTATTTCCATATAACAAAGTATAATTTTGTGTAGAATAATTTAAAGCTTTAACTTAAAGAGGTTAAGGATGTATTTGATCACCACCATCTTCCTAGAAAAATTCACTTAAGCTGTTTTAAACATTTCAGTATTTTAAACTATACAACCCTGAATTTATGGGGTTTTTTTTCCCCCAATTAAGACAAATACTTTATTCAAATCCATCAGAGAAACGGACAGCGTGGGTTGTAACAAAGCATTATGTTTTAAAGCACAGATCAGTAATTGTATATAAAGAGTATACACTGCTACATACAAATTAAACTGATCAGAGCACAACTTTAAAGCAGCACCTTTGTGATATTTTTAACTTTAGTACTCCTCTCCTCCTTCATTTCTCCTTCAACTGAATCCACACCAACCTCTTCATATCCTTCTCAAGGGCAGCCATGTCCTCAGAGGCTTCAGAAAACTCTTCTTCATCCATGCCCTCACCCACATACCAGTGAACAAAGGCATGCTTAGCATACATCAGGACATCAGGTCCAGGTGAGCCCAGGCCTCAGCAATGGCTGTGGTGTTGCTCAGCATGGCTGTACTTTGGCCAGGTCTCCACCAGATACCACAATGGGAGGCTGATAATTAATGCCAACTTTGAAGCCAGTGGGGCCCCAGTCCATAAACTGAATGGTACCCTTGGTCTTGATGGTGGAAATGGCAGCACTGACATCTTTGGGAACCATGTTGCCACAGTACAACATGCAGCAAGCCATGTATTTTTTTTTTATTTCTTTTTAATTTTTTTTTTTTTTAATTTTTTTATGTTTATTTATTTCTGAGACAGAGACAGAGCATGAGCAGGGGAGGGACAGAGAGAGACGGAGACACAGAATCCAAAGCGGGCTCCAGGCTCTGAGCTGTCAGCACAGAGCCCTACGCGGGGCTCGAACTCACAAACTGTGAGATCACGACCTGAGCTGAAGTCAGTCGCTCAACCGACTGAGCCACCCAGGCGCCCCTTTAATGTTTATTTTTGAGAGAGAGGACGAGTGGGGGAGGGCAGAGAGGGAGACAAAGAATCTAAAGTGGCCTCCAGGCTCTGAGCTGTCTGCACAGTGACTGGCACGGGGCTCAAACCCCCAAACCGTGAGATCATGGCCTGAGCTGAAGTTGGACACTTAACAAACTGAGCCACCCAGGTGCACAGCAAGCCATGTATTTACCATGGTGAGAATCATATTTCACCATCTGGTTGGCTGGCTCAAAGCATGCATTAATGATCTCTGCTACAGAAAGCTGTTCATGGTAGCCTTCTCAGCAGAGATAACAGGAGCATATGTGGCCAGAGAGAAGTGGATGTGGGGATAAGGCACCAGGATAGTCTGGAATTCTGCAGATCAATATTCAGGGCTCCATCGAATCTGAGGGAAGCAGTGATGGAGAACACAATTTGACCTATCAACCTATTTAGTTTAGTGTTGGCTGGGCATTCAATATTGAGGTTTCCACGACAGATAGCATAGATGGCCTCACTGTCTACCATGAAGGTGAATTTATGTTGATTGTCACTTTGTAACAGCCTTTGGAATAAGAAACCCTCTAAATTCAAAGTAATCTCAGAAGTTAGTCTGAGCAATATAATCTTTCTCAAATAAACGAATGAATCTAAAACAGAAATAAACAAAAAAAGAAAAATCTGTGGGTTTATAACTGGATAAAGAAAATAAGTGGTGAATAAGAAGAGCAACTTTAAGAGAATCAATTCCAGACGCTCTACTTAAAAAGAACAGGTTTTTTTTTTCACTTTGACATACTGCCCAAATTTTGGTCAATTAAGGACTCTTTTGGCCAGTTTCCTTCTTTTTAAATGAAATGAAGTCAGTGCAAAGGAATCATACAGAGAACATGAATTATTAACTAAAGTTTATCATTTTTGTAAAATAAAACTTCACTTAAACTAAGTTTGATACATACATTACACATGGCTCCTATAAGACCAATAATAAATTTCTAGCAATGAGACTAGCTCTTTAATTAGTCATTTCAGAAGTCTTTCTGATGTGTGTGTGACGGGGTGTATATAGGGAATCTTCAAATGATTCACTGAAGAACTCTTCACCTGATAACTAAGTTGGCAGCTAACTACAGAAGGTCAATTCTTCATATTCAAAGATAATACTTAATATATTGTCAAGCTGATTTCATTAAATAAGGACCTAGGGTACTACATTGTCCAAATTTTCCTGTTAGAGCTAAACTAAAAGAATATCTAGGACTGTACCTAATTGTTATAAAAACCTGTAACTCACATTGTTAATAAACGTCTCCTGTTAATGCCAAAGTACAATATTTTAGCTTCATTAGCAACAACTTTTCCACAAAGAATCAAAATCCTTCCCTATCTGTCAAATTCTATCAATATCACTATATTTATGTCAACATCACTACCCTTATATATGTCTGACTGAACAGCAGCATGAAGAAACAGCAATGGCACTTTAATATATGCTTGAAAGATCTACTTAATTTCACTGAGACCATGAGTGTAACAAAATCCTTTAGAAACATCCAGAGAACTCTAAATCAATCAAGAACTGTACAATCAAGATACTGTACAAAAGACAAGGTCATCTAGGTAAGGCCTATAAGCCATAGAGTTGTAGGGACCTAGAAAATTGGGGATATATGATATAAAGGAGTCCAAAAGAAACTGAAGCACTCTTGTTGACTGAGCTATTTTTCATTTTTAAACTCGCTTTTCTCATGTCTTATGAAGTAGCTAAACCATTTCTGAGATATTCAAAAGAATAATAAAATATATACAGTACATGTTAACTGGTTTTTTATTTAAGAGACTTTTCTAAAATGTCAGATTTATGGATGAGTCATTTCTGTTCTATGATATTTATGGTTGTTAATAAAATGCTTAATTAAAAACAAATTCCTTCTTAGGATGATGGAAATGTTCTTAATCTTGACTGTGGTGGTAGCTTCATAGGTATACACATCTATCAAAACATGTCAAAATGTAAAGAGTTAATTCTTTACTACTATGAGATTTTAACAGTTCTGTATGTTTGGGATAACAGTTCTTTATCATGTGTCCTTTGCTTGTTTTAGGTTTAGTTTACTTTTCTAATTTCTTAAAGTAGAAGGTTAAATTACTGATTTAATGTATTTCTTCTTTTCCTTACAGCACTGCTTTAGCTGTTATCATATAAATTTTGGTATGTTGTGGTTTCGGTTTTTTTTTTCCATTTGTCTCAAAGTATTTTCTAATTTCTTTTGTGATTTTTTTTCTTTGACTCACTGGTTATTTGGGAATTTGCTATTTAATTTCCACATTTGTGGATTTCCAAAATCTCCTTCTGTTAATGATTTCTAATTACATTACTCATTTATTCTTGACTTTATGTGTAGATCAAAAGGTCAGATAATCCTAGGCTTGAACCACATAACAGAGTATCTACAATCACTCCTACCTCTATCCCAAATGGTAATTACCAATAATCTTTTGGAAAGGACTTTGGAAGAGGAGATAAAGAAATCAAGTGAAAAGACTGAGGACAATGAGCAAAATCAGTTATACTCTGTATTTATAAAGCATTTTACAGATTACAGAAAGTGCTTTTATGTAAATATGAACTTTTATTTTTTTTTTTATTTTTTTCAACGTTTATTTTATTTTTGGGACAGAGAGAGACAGAGCATGAATGGGGGAGGGGCAGAGAGAGAGGGAGACACAGAATCTGAAACAGGCTCCAGGCTCTGAGCCATCAGCCCAGAGCCCGACGCGGGGCTCGAACTCACGGAGTGCGAGATCGTGACCTGGCTGAAGTCGGACACTTAACCGACTGCGCCACCCAGGCGCCCCTGTAAATGTGAACTTTTAAAAAGTCCTTAAATATTCTAACACAAAATAGAGACAATCAGTAAATTGGCAAAAATAAAATACCTGGTAGGTGTTGTCAAAACTGTCATACATGAATCTGGTGATCAAGGATGTCTTTCCAACTGAAATGAAAAGGAAAAAGATTCACTTAGTTAACATATTACACTGGGTTCTCAAGCCATTCTTCTACAGAGGACTGCAATTACAGTCAGTGGGAAATATCTGCAATGGTTCTACTAATAATAATTTTAAGATATATAGCCCCTAGTTTGTTGAAACACCTTTCTCTAATAACAGATAACAATCTCTCAAATTAAGAGCACAGGTAAGGAGTATATAGTTAAGAATTTAGGAAAATGAAAAGATGGAGGAAAACAATCAATTATGTTGACATTTCTAATTCACAAAAGGGAAAGCAGATATTCACTTGGGCCCTAACAGAACTAAGATTAGACTCTGAAGAAATTATAATTCACTTATTGGACAGTAACCTGGAAAAACTGAGGTTCACATTCACTTCATTTAATGAATCAAACTCCTGGGAATATAAAGACTAAAGATGGAGAATCCTAGGAGGAATAGGAGGGCCACAAGAACTACAATGTTTTAAGAGTAACAAAGAAGTGACAAGGAAAACTGTATTGAAACTCATCTCAGGATCACATCTCTCCACTTCTCTGGCAAGGCAATCCCAAAGATTCATAATACTACTTTGTACTGGTATTTTCAGGTTAATCCACAGGAAAGTGTCACTAAATAAAAAATAGAGGAATACTGGCAATTTCCTTACCAATGGGCATACTCTCCAAGGGCAAGAGCCATATCTAATTTTCCTATTTTTCCAGTAGCTTGACACAGATCCAACAAATACTAAATTAATACAAGTAAGTGTATTAATTATGTCAATTAAAGAGCTGTGCAAATAAGTATCTCAAATGCTCCCCCAAATGTAAAAGAGGTGTGATCCTGGCCTCTATATTATATTCTCTAATCATATATCATATGAAAACCTGAGGGGAAAAAATGGGCCAAAGAAGGAAGAATCCCATTAAATCATGTACCCCAAATGTCTTATTTCAGAAAGCCTAAAACAGCATGTTGAAGAGAAAAGCTATAGCTAGTCCCCAGACCCTAGTCAAAAGCAAATTGATGTTTGAGAAGAAGTCTCTTTATAAAGCAACAGTGGAACTATGTACTTCTTCATTAGTAAATAGTACATATAGTTTTCATTTTTTAAAAAAAAAACACCCACCACCTCTTTCACATAAAAGAGTAAAATGTATATTTGTAAAGCAGGCAGCACAGAAAATAACAAGAACAAAGTGAAAATTACGTATACCATACCACCCATATATAACTAATGTTAGTATATGTTTTTCTGAAATATTTTTTATATTTAAAAATACATACTTAAAGGTAAAATGCTAGAACCATTCAAAGGAAAGCCAGAAACAATATACGCAGTACTATTTTGAACACTGATTGGACTCTATAAAGTAAATGTAGGGCACCTGGGTGGCTCAGTTGGTTGAGTGCCTGACTCTTGATTTCAGCTTAGGTCATCATCTCATGGTTCATGAGATTAAGCCCCATATTGGGCTCCAAACAGAACCTGCTGGGGATTCTCCCTCTCCCTCTCTTTCTGCCCCTCTCCACCCCCTCAAAATAAGTAAGTAAACTTAAAAAAAAAACAAAAAAAGGTAACATGGCCATAATGGCAGAAGAAATTATGTTGCACTACCTACCCAGCCTCCAGGTTTTAAAGAACCTGAACACAGACCATAAGAAAATACAAAATGAAAGATACTATATCCTTGAATGAAAAATAGCAAAGTGAGGTTTTCCAGTCTGTAATTTTTTGCGTGACCACACTTAGGTTTCTGGCAGCCCACAACCTAACTGACTTGAGTTGGAGGACAAAGTTCAGGGCACAGAACAATTAGAAAGATTACAGAGAAGAAGCTACAAAGAAAGTGAACTGGAAAATCTGCATTTAAAACATAAAACATCTCCAAATCCTTAGCGGATTTCCTAAACTACCTATGAGGATTGATGGGAAGACTTCAGGATTCCCAGTGAAAAGTAGCAGCTGGGTTTTGAAACAATTGAGCTACTACAGGACACGGGGAGTTTAGAGTTTGAATCAAGCCAAGGTAACTGCCTTCTCAGCCACAAAAAACTCTTTGGAGGAACAACAAAATCCAGAGTCTCTGTATACTTTCTCCATCATGTCTACTATATACTAAAAAAAATAGTAAATGCAAAGAAATAAAAACACATAATTCATACTCAAAAAAAGAAAGAAAGAAAACAGGCTCCAATCCAAGATGACTCAGATGTTATAGTTAGAAAACAAGGATTTAATGCTGCGATTATAGATATATTCTCTGTGCCCCCATGTATAATATATATACACACACACACAC